TAGGCACAACATACAAGAAAAGTACAAAGAGATTGGTTTCTGTTCAGCCAGTGAATAGCTTTTTACTTTAGACTGTTCCTGTGCAAACACCATTAGCAACCATTACCATACTACAGTAAGGTTACATTTAATATTGCTAATGACAGATTTATGAAGTGTTTGTTGTCTTCTGTCTAAACATGTTTAAAACTTTGGGGTGAAAGGTTTAAATGTTCTGAACTCAAAACTTTTTATGAAGTGGCACCTGGTAGTCATTTTTAGCCCCTCCAGTTATTATTTTCCAGGGTCATACACAGAGAGAGATCTCTTTCTCTTTCATTGTCACCAGCCCCAGTGTCTTTTCCAGAAAATGCCACACCATATATCAAACATATATGTGCACGTGTCATATGGTGTGTGTATATCTACGAGTGTGCCAGCCACTTACTTAAACTGTCTGCCTGCATCACCAGACTCAACCATCACTCGGCCTGTCTGTCCATTCCGCTTCTTGCTGGGCCCTCGAACATCACAAACACACATTTTCTCTTGGCCATCAGCCAGGATTCACATACAGAAAGCATATTCCTCGTGCTTAACACACAACTAAATGAGGATTTGGAAGACTGATATTAATGCTGCAATTTTGATATTAAATCTGCTGACGACTAATATTTTATGCAAACATTCATCAATTTTTTTTTTAAATCATGTCAAAAGACACAAATATACAGCATTTTGAATTTTTATCTTGTCAGGGAAAAAAAAAATCACTGGATCAGTGATTCCCATCCTTTTTGGACTGTGGACCCTTACAATGAAGTTGTCTCTTCATGACAAGAACTGTGAACTGAAGAAAAAAAAAATTCTCATATTGTTGAAGAGAATCTTAAAGACTAAAAGTATTTTACAAATATACTATAAAAAGGCCATTTTTTGAGAAAAGTTAAAAAGTATACATATAACTAAAGTATTTTAGGACTCCCTTTAAAGCTCCAGATAGAAGCCACTGTGTCATGCTAAAGGCTTCCACTGAAATTCCAACAACTAACAAAAGTCTTTCAGGGTGGGTTAATATTTTCACAATACAATTAATTCATTTTAATAGAACTTAACAGAATATGCCAAAAAAGGTTACACAACTACAATCTGTTACCAATTTCACCGAAAGGCCGCCTCAACACATTGCTCTGGCCCAGGGAGTGTGCCTATGTGACTGCTCTTCTGGCACTCATACAGCTGGCACATCAGGCGAGCCACTTGGCCCTGACTCCATTCAACCCTACTCTTTGCTCATGTTCAAGGCTGTGGTAATGGGGAATTAGTATGCAGAGAAGCAGACAGACGGCTCTGTGTAGCCAGATCCAGGGAAGATGACTGGAGAGAGGCCTCTCTCTCACTTCTCCTCCTCCTCCCCTGCTGCTCCCTTCCCTCTCCCCTTTCTAGCATCAGTCCCTATGCCCTGTCCCAAATCCTAATGGGACGTTAGACAGACAGCCTCACCTAAATTGAGCAGAAAGAGCAACCTCCACCACCTCTTGTTGTCTCGCCAAAAAAATTTTTAAAAAAGAGAGACACCCCCCCCACAATCTCTGTCAGCTACCACCCATACTTGCTCCTCGTGATACTTTGGGCTATTGAGGGGCTCCCAGACAACCCTCCACTCTTCAGTCCCTCAGTCTAACTCTGCATAAATTAGACACATCTCCCTGGTGTCTCGTCAGCCGGTCGGGGCATGCCTGGCCCCAAGTCTGCCATCTCCCATTGTGCTGCTCCTTCTTCCCTTCATGCTGTCACCTTCTGTCTTCCGCCACCTCCCCCATTTACTGTATTCCACCAATCCCTGACTTATTTTGACCAGACACCATCCAATAGAGCACCTTTCTTCAATCACACCTCCTTTCTTATGTTTCTCACTTCTTCCTTAATCACTCCTGCTTTTTTGTCACTCCTCCACTTCTTCTTCTTCGTTTTCCCTGAAATCCCTTGACACACTCACTCCCACTTTACCTACCTTATATTTTCCACATTCTCTATATCTATTACTTCTTTTCTTATCCTTCCAGCAGTGTGTTACCCAGATCATCTGAGCCCTTCCTGCTCTCCTCTCCTCCCCTTTTTAGCCAGGATATTGTTTACATCTGTCTTGCTAATCACTGCCAGAGCCTCTCTAGACCTCACAGATGTTACAATAATACAGGGGATTAAGCAGGCTTAACACTCTGGTCATATCTGGGGAGTTTTCCTGATGGCTTGGTGGTGAAGCTTGTGAGCTCCTCTGAATTTGACCTTTCTGTTTCACTCTTTTGTTGCAATCCTACAGTCCCGTTTCTCTTTGATTTGTGATTTTCTGCATGCACCTGGCGTTGTTATTTTATCCAGATTGGCGCTCTGAGTTTTCACTTCCTGCTTAATTTAAATATTAAATATTGTTCTTCTTTCCAGCAGCTGCTTGTACATGTATCCATCCTTCACATTTTCTAAAATATTTTAACTATGGAAGCTAACTTACTGATTCTGTTCAAATGTCCCTCCTTATTCTTGCAGAATTAACAGCACAATGTAGCACTGTGTTCACTCCTTTCACTGCTCACCATGGCGACACTTGAACCTCCCCAGTCTCCTCTGCTCTCCTCTTTAACTCAGAGCTGAAAGATAATTAGATGCCCTCCTCAGACTCAGCATCTCTCCTGCTCTATTCTGCGTCATGCAGTGCATTCAAGTCCTGTTTTATGACCAAGCAGATCCAGTGACTGGGACACTCAGTGTGTGTGTATGTGTGTGCTTGGGGTCAGTTTATTTCTGTCTGGATTCTAATCCCAAAGGTGATATTAGTGTGATCCAGGGCAACCCATCCTCCCTCCAGTATGTGTGTGTGTATGTGAGTGTTTGTGCTGCAGGCTCTGGGGTCAACCAGGACGCCCAGACAGGCTCTACCTTGACCTTTGATCCAAGACTGTCTGCCAGCTCAGGGGGTTACGCACGCCATTGATACAGCCATCTGATAGACGCACAAACAAACACACATGCACACACATAGCATGCACAAACACATAGCCTGCTCCTTGTTGTAAACATTAATAGTTTGCTGTGTCTAGAGAGATGATGACGTGAGCAGCGTCATGTATGCTGAGAGTGCGTGTGCATGTGCACAGATAGTATTCCTAATCACCAATGTATTAGCCTAATCCAGCTTTTAAATTTTAAAATAAACATTTAATTTAAATTAAGAATGCACAACATAAGGAGAGTATTACTGCACTATGTGTATTTACTGGGTCATTTTTTATCACCAATCACTCTCTTTTATTTGTTTGTGTCTCCACAGAGGCAGTCAGAAATGCCACTATCAAGATGAAAAGCAATGATTATGTTCTCACCATCAGACAAGATTCCAACAAAGCACACATGCTGTCTGTAGCCTGTTTCTCGGAACATGTTTAGCCTCTGCCACATATGGAAAATACCACCTCTTACATCTGCAAGAAAAGTTAGTTAGACACACATGATCAGTGTCTGATTACCAGTATCTAGTCTGCCTGCTTTGTGGATGTGGACAGGTAAGTTGGAGCTGCTTCTAAGTTTAGAGGTTGAACCAATTTAAAAACTGTCTGAAGTGTAAAATGCAGCTACTGAGCAATATTTTCCAAAATTTGTTTCATTAGATATAAATTACTATATTTGAGACCAATTTAAGGTCCGTGATTGGATGGGACCTCTAGAGCGCCTTCTATTCAGTAATCAGTAATTTATATTCAGGTATTTTACTGGAAAATTGTTTGACAAGAGTCTGTTGCCTGTTGAACTACTTTAATCTTTTCTGTGAGGCTTATGTTCACATACATCTTATTCAATCTTTTTCATAAAATAATGAGTTGATTTATTATAAAACATGAAAGGAAAATGCCAAATGCGATGTCCTCATACAATATAAATGTTGAATAAAGGTCAGTTATTTGTTAAAAAGATGTTTTTTTATTTTCAGCTTAATTCTGTTTCCTTATATATTGTTTGTTTGTAATTGCTGGGATAATAGCTGAACCTTACAGTTGGTTTATTACTACTAACAGGTATTTCCTACATATCCGGAACATGATGTGTCCTATAACTTTGTGTTATAGCTTGAACGTGAGTCACATTAGTGCAATGGGTGACATGTTCCTTCATTATAATGATCCACAGTCCCACATACTGTTCTACAAATCAAATATGTGTTCCTAAATCTGTGGTGTCAATTAGGCACTTTGTGTGTGAGCAGCAGGGGTGTTGAAGCAAGTTTCTGGAGCTGAATGAAACTCTGAACAATGATACACATTCATAACCAAACACACACACACACACGTTACTCCTGTGTTGTGTGGGGATCACACCTTCTTTTGTTTCACCCCAGCAGCCAGTAGAGGCGATGCCCCAGTGCCCCCAGTGTGCTCCACTGCTCTGGCTGAAATGGGCTCCCTGCTCCCCTCTGGCTCCCCCATTCTCTTCCAGCAAAACTGTCCCTTCACTCACTCTGAGCTCCCCAGCCCTCAGCCTCCTCCCCTACTGATCCTGACCTGAAATTAGGGCCAGGCAAGCCTCCATGGCCAGGCCAGCATAAAAGGAGATCTGTGTATGTGTGTTTGCAAGTGTGTGCATGGCCCTGAAAGAAAGTAGGAGATTATCCCATTCTGTGTGTCCACTCACCAGTGCAGTATTGACCATGGTGGGCCACCCAGGGAGTGTCCAGCCAGCCATGAGATGGCCTGATATACATGCTTACTGGCCCTGCTAGATTCCCCCACTCTCACCGGGGATAAGGCCGAGCCCTACAGGCTGGACTCTTTCTAAAGACACTGGAGTCTATACACCGAGCGACCAGCCCTCCATACACAGGAACACACACACATTTAAGCATACCCTCTGTACAGTGAAAGACATTGCCATCAGGTCGTTTTCTGTGTCCTGTGAGGCGAGGCGGAGGTCATTGGGAAGGTTGAAAACCTCTTTAATGGTAGGAATGATACCATAACACCTATAGATAGAGTTACGGATCATGTCACATGCAGTTTGTATACAGTGCACACCCTGACAGTGAGGCCTGTTCACTGCTGGTATATGTGAAGGTGAGTGTAAAAAAGCCAGAATTATTTGCTTCTCCTTTGTTTTACTGCTTACCCTTATTATTTTTTTATGTTTGAAATGTCCTTATAACATCTTTCTGATCACTACAAAATGATCCATAGTACATTCATTTTTTTCTTGGTTTTGATGTTAGGCTATGTTGCCTTATTTAAACCAAGAAATAAAGTAAAAGGAACACATTAATATTCATGAGGTTTGTGTGTGTGTGTGTGTGTGTGTGTGTGTGTGTGTGTGTGTGTGTGTGTGTGTGTGAATTAACCTCATAAACATTCAAATAAATGATTTTGGATGTAGCCTCAAAGAGTTTATTAAAAGCCTGTTGGCTGCACAGGTGTGTAACAGCTAAAAGAAGCTTATTATTGACCTAAACAAACCCTCAGGGGTCAGCTAATTGCCTTCTAATTACTCAGCTGTTTGTTTGTTGATGGAGAGTCTCTTGACATACTGCCTGTTAACAACACAGAGGCCTTTAACATCAGGACAGCGCTGCACAAATCTCATTAGCAATAAAAATCAAAGAAAAGATTTTATAGGGAAGATTATAATTTTTTTTTTTTTACTGAATTTAAACAATGATTAAGTAGTGTGTGTGTGTGTGTGGGGGGGGGTCACAATAAAGCAATGGAAATAATATAATGTCATTTATTCTGCTTTATGATTTGTTTTTCCTTGACAAGCTAAATGTGCTGAAATGAATAGGCTGCAATAAAACAACAAACTGTCACTCAAAATTATCATTGTTTATGTCACTTTATTTCAGCCACTTCAAATTATTTACAGCAGGCTACACAGCTCCAACTGTTTCACTGTAATAAATGTTGGCTTGCTGGGGTTTTTCTTTTTCTTTTTTCAGCATACATGTGGCAGTTTTTTATGCACACAAATCTCTGCTTGGTTAAATATGGTCACCAGGCAAATTTCATAAACAGCAGAGGAAGCTGGGGTGGTGTGGTTTGTTAAGGGGTAAACAAACTAAGTATTGTAAGATTATATAAATTTGTTTACTTAAATTGCATAATACTGGATTATATGTGCCCCCATGCCTGCTTCAGATTAAGAGGATATTAGATGAATATGGTTTGTCCTATGTATGGACAACACAATATTGTCATGGTATTAATTGGCTGAAAGCAACGGTGGAGCAGCGGTTGAAAGACTAGTTCCTGTAAAAATGGCAAAGTGAGTTAAAAACATGTCATTTCATGTTCTATATATACAAATCAAACAAGAAATTAAGATCTATTATGTGAAAGCCATGCATATAGACAAGCCATATATAATTTGAGACTTAATAATACTAAAATTCCCAAGGTGGCTGGGCAATGAAAAGGTTTGGTTAGAGATCAGAGGTTTTGTAATGTGTGTAATAATAATTTAGTGGGTGATGAATTTCATATTTTCTTTGAATTTAAAAATATAAATATTAGGTATTATAGAGGAAAGTATTTGCTGAAGTATTATCTGAAATCCCCTTCTATATTTAAAGTAATGCTATTGCTACAAGCAGCTAGGCCAAAAATGATTAAACAATTGGATGCTTTTTGAGGAATGTATTACCCTTGTTTGAATGAAGATTTTGTGCTGCATGTCTCGTTTTGATAATGTCTTTGACTGTTATGTTTGTACTCCATACCATGCATTTGTGGTTGTGAGAGATTAAATGATGATGATGATGATGATCCAAGCAAGGGGAATTTAATTTATTATACAGAAAGAGAAGAAGAAGCAAATCAGCCAAGTGTATTAAATTATTTCACTATAATAACATAAAATATTGCCATGGATTCAGATGAGTAAAAAATATTGTGCTCAAATTGCCCTGACATGAACCATAATAGGAAGTCTTATATTTTAATGTTTTTTATGTTTTAGTTGTTTTATCTTTTTTCTTACCAGATTTCAGAAATTCTGCCATTTTATTTATTTATTTATTCCACAGCTGTTGCTATAGCCTCTTGTGAGATATTAAAATAAAAGTTTGAGACTGTAATATACTCCAAAATACAGTAAGACTGAATTGTCCAAATTGGGGTCATTAAAGAGAATTTTAATTGTCCTTCAACGGAGTACATCAGGGTGGAGTGTATTCAGGGCCCTCAGGACTGATGTGTATTTTATATTGAGACCATTTACCAGGATACTGCAAGAACACTTCTGAATAACAAGAGTGCATTAAACCCACTATAATATTAAGCATCCATCTTCAAAATACAGCTCAGTGTTAACTGTATCTATTTATTTTATATTTACATTATAATGATGCTGACTCACTCTGAATTCACTAACACAATAAGCTTGAATGCCTGAAAACAAACATTGCAAGTAACAGTATGGCTGGGGCCACAGCACTTAAACAGATCAAGGAACAATGTGCGTGCTGCTCCTGAATGAGCACAGATGATGAGTGGGAGGTACCTTGCCTCCCGGTTTGACCCCCTTGGTGAGGGATGACTGTGGTTCATTGGGAAGAGCAGTTGTCTCCCAATCGGAGGGTTGGAGGTTAGAAATGTGGTGCCTGTAGTCCACATGTAGAAGTGTCCTTGGGCAAGACATTGAAGCCCAAGCTGGTTAGAACTATCGGTGTGAGTTGGCGCCACAGACGGCTGCCTTGGTTCTGTACCAGAATAAAAATCCTTGTGTGCGTAACATACTTGGCCAAATAAAGTGATTGTCCTTATGATAAAAGGCATTCAGCTGTGGCCCACTGATGTGTCACCCCAGCATGCACACACAAAGATGAAATTTTTATGTAAACGCTCTAATTTCAGACCCCAGTGACTGTTCTCACATGCATATAATGTAAGGCTGACTTTAGAATGGTATCCCCATCAGGTGGAAGAAACCTGCATAAGTAAAATCCATTTGCAGTTAAAATGTTTCTGCTGAACTTGTTTGAATTTGTTGAATTAAAAGACACCTCATAAAATTTGTAGACCACAGTGCACACAGAAGAGCAAGTTGGGGGTGGTTGACAAAAGGGGGCTATGGTGGAGTCAGGACATGAATGAGTGGGGGCAAGGGGGGGTCTCCAAGTCCGAGAACTTGGAGCCTAGTTTATCATGCTGACTGCAGTGATGCCATTGAATGTGGACAGAGGGAGCAGAAGGTTCACAGGACCTCGACCATTCTTATGCAAACTCTGTCAGAGGCTCCTCCGTCATACCTCCACCCACCACCCACCCCCAGCCTTCACTCTTGCAGAAACACATACATGTTTATAAACAGGCACAAATTCACTGAAGCCTGGGTAGGGTGCCCCTTTCCTTATACATGGTATGTGCACAAAAATGTCACATTACATGGAGGAACAATGGGAACCAATCCATGTGTAAAACCACAGTCACTCAGAAAATATAATCAGTCATAAAAATACAAGAATAAACCTGTCATCTTACAGCTTTCTTTTGCAAAAGGCTAGTGTTAATGTAAACATTCGTTTTTATAAAACATTTAACATTTTATAAACAATTAAAACCAGCCTCAGCACTATTTCAGATAACAGAAAGACAAGCAAAGGCAAATAAAGGCAGATGCATAATTACATTATTCTCATAATTATTCCAGCTTGTAGTTATGAGATAGGAATGTACCACACCTTGTATTAACACTCATCTTAAGTTTCCTGTGACCTTGACACTACCTTGACAGGCTGAGGCATAAAACGGACCTAATTTCCTGACTGATTGTGAAAACTAATTTTCAACTAAATGTTCCAAAAAACACAAATTCTATTTAAATTTCTATTTTGGCATCCCTATTAAATCAGCCATACTCCCTGACTTTTATTTCTGCTTGCTGTTGGAGCCTGCACTGCTCTCACCTTTCATCTGTTTCACCTGATCCAGAGATCCTGGGGAAGTTACAACTCATTTAGCATTAAATCCGCTCTAATACCAAGAGCTGAAAATATCAGCTGTAGTGCAAACACATGCAACTACACATTTACTATCTTTAAATGCAAACACCTCATGCAAATGAATGAACCCCCCCGATATGATGAGGGAAGGTAACAAGCGTTTACTCTGTGTGCATGTGTGTAGGCACCCAGATTTATGTACGCTATAATTCCACAGCCAGGGCTTGAAGGAGTCTCCATTTGTATGTGTGTGTGAAAGTCTGTGTTTGTGCCCCCTCATCTGCACTTGGAGCAGCCGTTTGGAGCCTGTATTTGATTGACTGAAGGCCAACGCAGCCTGAACACTCCCTCTAATGGAAGAGTGGCGCTCAGCAGTTCAGTAATGCACTGATCCCAGAGCTTTTACAAGCCTGCCAGCCAATAAGTGGCAATATGCTGGATCTTATAAAATTAACAAGACTGAGCTGTGGGGAAAGGGAACTCAGAGGGTGGTAGTTGGTGAGGATGACATCCCTATATCGCTTATAAATATCAGGATGCAAGCATGGAAGGATTATTGCTGTTATTAACTGAGTTTTATAGTCATAGCAGCATGATGTCATATTTTCTCACTCTTTTCCTGGCTGATTTTAAAAGGAGGTTTACAGGGAAATGTTTGCAGGCCTGTTTATGCTTGATAAAACATCTCTCAAGGTGTTTCAGTGCTGGAAATTCCACAAAAGCTGCCATGGAGCTGGCTGCTTACTACACATTCTCTTCTGTACATCCTGGACTGTGACATCAACCAGTACAAACAGTGGACTTCAGGAAGAGCCCCCCCCACCTTACCCTCACTCATCATTCTTGGCAGCACTGTATCAGTAGTAAAGTCCTACACGTTCCTGGGCTCCACTATCTCCCAGGACCTGAAGTGGACATCCAATATCAGGACCATCACCAAGAAGGCACAGCAGAGGATGTACTTCCTGCGCCAGCTCAGGAAGTTCGACCTGCCCCAGGAGCTGCTGATACAGTTCTACAGAGGAATCATCGAGTCTGTTCTCTGCACCTCCATCACTGTCTGGTTTGGCTCAGCAACCAAACAGGACAAGTACAGACTTCAGCGAACAGTCAGGACTGCATGCAGAAAAGATCATCGGTACAAGCCTGCCCTTCATGGAGGACCTGTACACCTCATGGGGGAGAGGATCACTGCAGACCCCTCACGCCCCGGACATAATCTGTTTGAACTTCTCCCCTCTGGACGGTGTTACAGGTCACTGTGCACCAAGACAACCAGGCACAGGAACAGTTTCTTCCCCCGGGCTGTCACTCTGATGAACACTTAACCCACAACAGTATAACTGGACAATAACCCTCAGTGCAATACCTGTAAATATACATTGTACAGATTATACAGATTCGTGCAAATCTCTAGTTTTAAGTATTCTATTTTTATTCCTACTTATCCCTTTTCACAATGAGCATTGCTTGTTTACTGCCTGTTTATACTGCTTATTTTGCATTGTTTGCACTGTTTGTTGCTTGTTAATACTGCTTATTTTGTTATATTACACAGCCTTATGTTGGTTTACTGTTTACTTGCCCCTTGCATAGGGATATGAACATACACAATGAGAACCGATGTACCAGAGTCAAATTCCTCGTGTGTCCAACACACCTGGCCAATAAAGCAGATTTTGATTCTGATTCTGATCCTGACAAATTCAAAGTCAAGTATCCACCCTGTATTGTTTCTCTGTGTAAAGGAGGTCTCATCTAAACAGAACAGAATGTTTTTAATAATATTACAGCTGCAGCTGCTGTCTCAAAGCATCCAAATCTGATTTAGTACTGAAAAAGATTTCATTCCTGTGTGTCTCCTAGTGTCACCTCCTCACCTTTCTCAGACTGGGTGTGTGAGCATGGGAAGGCTGCATTTGTGTAGGTTTTGTGCAGCTAGCAGCTATTGTCTGCTAGCACTCCAGCAGGGGCTTCAAAGTGAATTATTTATGTGGGATTTGAATACATGCAAATGGTTCACTTCCCTCTCCTGGCACAGATCCAGGTTACCTATGGCAACGGCGCCTTCAAGAAGTATCTTTCCACCCCTCCTCCTCCTTCTCCTCCTGCTTCTCGCAGGCACCCACCCTCCAACCATGTTATCCACCCATTGGTATTGTTTCAATTGTTGCAATACCAGGCTGAGTGGCTGCACACTGTAGGGTGGCAGGATATCCCATAATTCACAGTCATGGTCACATCAGCATAGAGGATAGATGAGAGATAGAAGGAGGGCAGGTTCCCTCCATCCCTGCTGCTGGGACATCAAGTTTGGGAGATGCCTTTCTGCAGATGACAAAGAAAAAGAAGTGGTTTCAGATGGCGAATGATGATCGCCAATGGGACAGACTGGACACACACTCAACTACTATTCAGATTAGGTCACAGCTCACATGCACTAACCAGTGCAATAAAACAGGATGAGCACAGAAAACATCACCCTTGAATGCATCATACCATTATTCTCATGTATTATATTGGAAACAGTAGCTAAATGGGGTGTCACTAGTAAATGGGAAAAAACAATACTGTAGTAGTACAGTAAAAAGCAATGTTTCATCAAATATAAACAAATTTGGATATTAGGATTTAGACGGATGTGTGCGGTTTCCACAGTCATGCTTCCTCTACTTGATGAAAACAAAATACTGCTGTTTAAATCCTGAACATAGGATAAATAATAAATGTATAGTTGAAAATCATTTTTGTTTTATTCATATTTTTCTACAACATAATGGCGGTCAATTTCTGGGTATTTCTGTTGACTGTGTTTTTGGAATTCTTTTTTTAAGTAAATCTTTATAGTTGTTTATATAAGTAACACTAAATATACATATTTCATTAAAGGAGGGGTATGATCTCAATTTTCTTATAAATTTCAGTTCAAAGTTCACTTTAACCTTGCTTTTATCATTGTAGTATTTGTATGTAAAAAAGAAAAAAAAACAGGCTTAAATTATTTATGCCATATTTAATTTCTGAGTGATGTCTTGTAGTTTAAATTCTTTTTTTCTTCCACACGATTTTGTTCAGTATCATAGACACTTTAAAACAGTATTTTCCACCACTAACAAAGTAACATACATTTTGCACAGATAACTAAAACCAGAGATGAAGTGTCTCAGTGAGCAGACAGCAGGTCAAGTTCAGGTCATGAGGTGATCAGAGCCTAACTAACCTCCATAATGGTTTATGATGCACACAGAAGAGTAGCTACTCAATGCTGCCATCTACAGCAAAAGAAGGGGTATGTAGTGTCACACACGAGCCAGAAGTGATCAGTGTTGAGGAAACTACTTGTCCATTTTGTACCATCTTACTTCTACAATCAAAATAACTGAAACAGTCTTCAAATTGCACTTTTTTAGACGATATGAACAGCTTGAATACTGGTCTAAATAACAGGCCTATCTTTTTACATATCAGAGCAGAATCTTTTGTTTATATGTCTCATGAGCCATCTCTGAAAGCTCTTATCCAACAGGCCACTCTGCTTGTCATCCAAAATGTCCTTGTCAGCAATGAAAAGCTGCTCACATGCAGCAGGGGAAAATAAATGTTTAAAAGTTCCTCTTTTCCTTCTATGGCCCAAAATTGTTTGTAGTGTCAGTAGTTAACTACACAAAATTGGCAAAAGTTGTTTAATTACATGAATCACTATGTAAATATGAATATGCTACAAGCTAACTACTGCAACATGTAGTTAAACTAGTAGTTTATTTACATGGCTCACATCTCCCCAACACTAGACATGATTAATCAAATTGATAAACACTGCATAGTTACCTTAATATATACACTGATCAGCCATAACATTATGACCACTGGCAGGTGAAGTGAATAACACTGACCATTTGTTACAGTGTGTGGGGTATATTAGGCAGCAAGTGAACATTCAGTCCTCAAAGTTGATGTGTTGGAAGCAGGAAAAATGGACAAGTGACTTTAACAAGGATCAAACTGTGATGGTGAGATGACTGGGTCAGATCATCTCCCACACTACAGGTCTTGGTGGGTGTTGTTGGTCTGTAGTGGTTAGTACCTACCAACAGTGTCTAAGGAAGGACAAATGGTGAACTGGAGACAGGGTCATGGACGCCCACGGCTCACTGATGATGAGGTTGATCTACTGTAGATTAAACTTTTAACTTCCATTTGTACTTTTCAATACATAAGTTTCTCACTGAATTGTAGACACATCTGTGCTCTTCCTGACAGTAGAACTGTGGAAGCAAATGGATTCACAGAAGATGCACAGTGAGCTGCAGAGTGACACGAGCGCCAACCAACTGCCACATTGACTCCTATGTAAACAGTATTAGGCAGGTGGTCATAATGTTATGGCTGATCAGTGTATAACATATTGGATATTTTAAGCTCATCTTAAATTCTTTCAGCAGAAAATGTAAAACCCAGATTCACTAAATCCTTGTTATAATATTAACACAATTATTGTGGTAAAGATTTAAAAATGTCAGTGGCTGCATGTTTTAAGTCTAGATATTGTTCTGTATCCAAATTTAGGCCAGCTCTTTAATGTCACTGACGGTTATTACCTTTGCTTATCATATGGCCCCCTCAAGTGGACAAAAGGATTCACTGCTCAGTGTTGTGGATGGACACTTTATTGCATGGCCAGTTATATGCAAATTAACTTACATTTTTGGAAATGCTACATCACTGATATGTTCATTAGGAGTGAAAGTATGAATTCTTCTCATAAAACATATTCTACTTCAGTGCTTTGGCATACATATATATTTTAGGTAAACAGTGCTTTATGATCAAATAAAAGCAATGATAAGACTGCACAACAATGTGAGCACAGTATACTGTAAAAATGAAATATTGATATTCACATAAACATGTACAAACCCCAAATCAGAAAAGGTTAGGGTGGTATGTAAAATCAAAATTAAAACTGAAAATAGTTACTTGTAAATAAATCATCCATGTCCTGTATTACATTACAGCACATTATGTCATGTATTTGATACCTCATCAATTTTATTCTCCGGTTCAAAATATACACTAATTCCAATTCTAATGCCTACAACACATTGCAAAAAAGTTGGGACAGGACAGCTGCATTTCAGGGCTAGTAATGAGGTAAAACAATGAAATGATGATTCCACTTGAACCGGTGATGTCAACAGATGGTTACAATCATGATTTGGTACAAAAGATCACCTTTCTACAATCATTTGCTTCACCTCTTCTGGATGAAATCACATTGAGACCATTATAAAATTTTAAATGACTATAAGACATATTGCATAATCACCCATTCACCTATTTGTTATCAGGTACAAATCACACTGGTACATGATCAAACAGGAAGAAAAGCAAGGTGATGCAATAAAAATAAAACTCAAATTAAAAGCAATACAATGAATTAAAACAGTCTTTTCCATGTGTACATAATTAAACACCGTAGGTCTAATTAAGTGCAAGCATTATTTTAACATAATCAAAGTCATGCATATGCATCAATAAACACTAAACTGTTGTTACCTGCTGTTCCACTGTTAATCACTTGAGCCACTGTGATGGTAACAGAATACCACCAATTGTGTGAGTGACAAATTAAAGACATTTTTTCTCCACCCTCCTCACTCAACTTTTAGCTAAGTCTGAGATTCTATTTATCTACCAACATAAAATCCCACGGATGTCAGCAACCTCTTTTTCAAGGGAGACCTGATGTTATGTTTCTGTGTGTACAACATATTTCTACTCATCCTGACATCCTGTTTGCAGGGAATAGGAGTGTGCAGCAGGATGCTCCTGCACTGACTGAGTACAGAGACTTATCATTGGCATAAGAATGACTTGACCACCAACCTCATGTCTGCCTCATTTGTGCTTTTTTACTACCCCTTAGTTGCTGCCCAGTGACTCAGTGAGTGAAGTAGCCCATCTGATGCAATTTGAGCAGGAAGCTGTGTGTGATATCAAATGTGGTGAAGCTAATCCCTACAGCAATGGGCCCTTTCAGCCAGTTCATGCTCAGGCCTTTGTACAGTCCACATATAACTCCCTCCCCTGTTACGATCTCACGCATGGTCCCCAGGATTGTGCGGTATGATGAGCCAGTGACTCCAGCTGTCTGCATGCGCCGACGTACCACATCCAGAGGGTACGAGGCAGATTGCCCAATCAGACCGGCGCAAGCACCAAAGGCCAAACGTTCATGGGGGTAAGGCTGGGGTCGCTTTGTTTTTTCTACAATGAGAGACACAAAAAAAGAAAGAGTTCAATATCAGACCGCACAAATGATAAGAAAAGAAGTAGTACTAATGGTCATTACCTGTGTGTAGCTTCTTGAGGGTCTCATATGTAAAGAAGGTGATCCCTGCATATGGGATAACACCCAGGATAGTGGGGGTGAAGCCTCTGTAAAGAGTCTTCACACCTTCATCTCGGGAGATCCGCACAAAAACATGAACAATGTTGCTGTACCTGTTGGAAAAAGAAACATCAGTCATGACAAAGACATTATTTAACAGCTGTGCAAAATCACCTACCAGTATGCATGTTGCTAAAGTTTAGAAACTGCATATTTGGTCAATACTACTGATGTAAGATACAGTATGTTTAACCATATCAAAGTTAATATGCCATAGAAAGGTCTATTTGCTAAAATTAGCAGCTATCACAAAACAGGCCCCCCATCCCATCTTAAGCTAATTTACAGACTTTTTCTGATGATTTATCCTTCAACATTTTAGCCATTTAGTTTGTTATAAATAAGACTTACCTACATCTAACCTTACTGGAGAAACCTAGTCCTGCTAAAAGCTAACTAGCCTAGTTTATATACTGTTTAGACCAGGGGTGCCCACACTTTTGTGCCTTGCGAGCTACTTTTCAAATGACCAAGTCAAAATGATCGACCTACAGTTAAAATATTAAACATATATTTATTTATATACAGAGTATACCTTATGGAAACACAATATATGTTGGTGCACCTTGCATAACTGCATGAACCTTAAGGCACACTACAGTTCAGTACTTTTTTGCTCATTAGTTTACTCTGATGACTTGCACTGAATGGAATCAGCCAGGGCTGCATAGTCCGGACAGTAGCTGCTGGTAGCCAGCCTC